TCCCGAGACCCCGAGATGGCGCTCTTTCTCTAGGTGAATCAGATCAATTCATTTATTAGTTATTTATATTGCGTATAGATGAACGGTGCTGATCTGGAGGGCTGAATAAATGTTTTAATCCCGATCTTTATATGTGTTTTCTTTGTTTGTTTTTGTAATGAGATGAAACAGATTTATTATTATTCTACAGAAAGCAAGATGGCGTAGATTACCCTCTTAGTTGCGATATTAAAGGGTGGTCTCGCAAAGGAACTTCAGTCATGCTAAAATGGTTTCCTATTTCTTTTGATCAGTATTTTCGTTTGCATCATTACATCATTGGCCTCCATCACACATCCTACAATGAAAAACTTTGTGACTTTACATTTGAAATTATTACATTTAAAGGGATTGGGTAACTTTGCCTCAGACTCTTTAACAAAAATCCTGGATATAGCTCATGCAGTGAATCATCAGTGTATACCTTTAGATCAGTCAGGAATCCCATGACTTTTACAAGCCGATTGCATGTCTGATTATCAAGATATTTATGATTGGAATTAGAAATTTAAAAAAACCGTTGGGAGACTACAGTCTAATTGGGGACATGAGTATGGTAAAACCGGTCACTCATATATTTCACTTTTTTGAAGCACTTCATGTTCATTTTGAAGCGCAATTTTTTTAGGGATTCAATATTACATCATATCACAGACACTGATAACGAGTAGGGCCATGCATCTCAGATTTGTAAAACTGGAAACAGTGCCTTTAAAAAAATAAACAATAGTACATGTAGAAGGTAAGCACCCAATACCCGATCGAATTCTATCGTAGCCGGAAGAAAAATTACTTCGATATTAACATCAACATTTATTATCGCCATTGTCTTTACCATCATCACCAACACCACCACCCTCAACGTTATCAAATTGTCATCACCAGATCTTCATCACAGTTATCATCACTTTTCTCCATTTTCATCAACTTCAACAGTCCCCATCCGCAGCAGTATCATCATTAACACAATCATTCTCAGACCAAAACTATTATCTTCTTTCGAAACAAAATCATTTAGAGGACACAAATGCCTTGTCAAACGTTCAATAGGGACTTTTAGATTCTGCACGACGAGAACGTGGACTGCCCTTTTAAGGCAATGTGACGTCAATGCCAGTGCCTTAAAAGGGCAGTCCACGTTCTCGTCGTGCAGAATCTAAAAGTCCCTAATATCAATCTCCCATGCACTTCAACAAGAGAAAAAGTCATGATGAAAATCATTTCTGATATTTCGGATTGGTCCACTTTCATTTTAATCAACAAAGTCGGTGAAAACAATTAGCATACATTTGAACTACTTCAGTGATCACAAGTTAATACATGTATTACAAAACATTTGAAGGCCTTGAATACTGCAGGTTTTTTTAAGGGGCATCAAAGTAACATGATATCAGACAAACACTAACAGTCATGTCTTACAAATCAAAATCAGTACTTTACCATCCAATGAAAAAAAATTCAGTACTATAACTATAACATTTTAATTCCTACAGGTGTTTGGATAAAGAGTACATTCTTATACATAAATGTTATAATTTTGTCAATAACATGATTTCAGTCGAAGATGTTGTCTTGTTATTGCTAATTGCTAAATCTAACTCATTGTCAAAAAACGCTTCTTGGAAGTTATAATTTGTCACAAACTCAAAGCAAAAGGAAATTTCATATAAGCGATAACAAAATATAGCAAAGCTTTATGCGTTACATTTTTCTCCAGTTATTTTTTTTCTCCACGGTGTGAAACGTCATATGGAAATTTGAGCATCAACATTTCTTGGATATAAACACCACAAAAATACAATAAAAATGCAATCAGGAGATCAGTAACGAAATATCTCAGACAATATGATACTGCATGAACTATATTGCCAAAAAGCATTCTATAATTCCTTATGAGCTAATGTATCAATTGAAATAGTCTTGTTTTGCTTTTCAAATCACTGGTTACATTTGTTTCACACAAAAATACAGGTGAAAAGGAAATAATACCGTGCACATTTCCCACGTAAACGTCCCCAAAGCCAATTATTATACATATAGTCATCTCTTAGTGCAAATAATTGTACTGCAAAACGAGCTCAAAACTTCACATCAAGCACTTTTTATACATTAAAAAGATGTTCCTTAAGCTAACGAAACTTGGAATGTTTACACCTCCCTACTTCATAACAAATCTTAAAAGACTTAATACGTAGCAATGAAAATCTGGAATAAATGAACAAAAGTAATAATCTTGAATATATAAGTTCATACATGACAGAGTAAAAGATAAATGCAAATACTGAGAAGAATACGAGGATCTAAGAATACACACAATAGGCAAATTCTGTCAACCCTAATAGAAAAAAATACACAGTCAAACAGTTAACAGGATACATTGGGTGTCTTATATAATAGATATTTATGCAGAGGTGTCTGTCCGAAGAACTTATGTGCTTACAAAATTCAAATTTGAAAATAGAAATATATGTAAAGGGGGGGGGGGGTTGGGGAGGGGGGCAATCCCCACACATTCCCAAATCCCTCTCTATCTAACAATGTCCATGTAAAATATGTTTTAGCAGTTGCTACACAATCGTATACATTAAACAGGCGCGGATCCAGGATTTCTTAGGGGAGGGGGCCCAACTTTTTTTTTTTTTGCTCCCGAAAATTTGAAAATCGCGCCGGCCGAAAAGTCGCTCAGTGGGGGGGGGGGGGGGGGGGGGGTGTACAGAGCACAATTTTTTTTTTTTTTTTTTTTTTTTTTTTTTTGCTCCCGAAAATTTGAAAAACGCGCCGGCCAAAAATTCGCTCAGTGGGGGGGGGGGGGGGGGGGGGGGGGGGGGGGGGGGGGGGGGGGTAGTGAGCACATTTTTTTTTTTTTTTGATCCTCAAAAAAATTTCAATTTGCACCCCCCCCCCCCTTGAGCGCCAGGGGGGGGGGGGGGCCCAACCCCCCAAAATCGTAAAAATCACGTGATTTTACATGATTTTTTTCTCAAGGGGGGGGGCCCGGGCCCCCGGGCCCCCCCCCCCCTGGATCCGCCACTGACATTAAATGAATCTTTTAGCCCATTCTAAAACTGCTACTTAGAGCCCAAAGTGAAACCAGCATAACTGATATGTAAAGTACAATGGTAACATTTGCCTTTCTGTAAAAATGTATAAATAATTTTCTTTAGGGCAGTGTTGTTGTTTCCTTTTCAAAACCTTGCTTACGGAGAAGAGGGGAACCTGTCAACCTCATGTAAGAGACAGTGAGGAGAAAGAAGAGGGAAAGAGAGGGTGAAGAACAGAGAGAGAGAGAGAGAGAGAGAGAGACAGGGAGAAAGAAGAAGGGAGAGAGAGGGGAGGAACATAGAGAGAGAGAGAGCGAGAGAGACAGGAGAAAGAAGAAAGGAAAGAGGGGGGGAGGAACATAGAGAGAGAGCGAGAGAGACGGAGAGAGACAGGGAGAAAGAAGGGAGAGGAAAAGATAATTTAATGGTACAACAAATAACTAGAAATACATTTGACCAACCACTTTACTATCTTGGCAGAAATTGCACCACTGTTGCCTCACCAGAAAATGGGATGTCATGATTGTCCCTTTACTTAATCCTTTGTATATAGAAACATCTTCAACCCAATCACAAAGACTTTCAATAAATCAAGCTGAGGATATTTCAATAGCCTTTGCCTCCAGAAGTGTGTGGACATTAATAAAAATAATAATAATAGTTTGTCCTTATATAGCGCATTTCAGGACCGCAGGCCCTCTCAATGCGCTTTACAGATATATATTATTACCCCTGTCATTGTATTCATGCTAACCCGCACACAAGGTATGCACATTCTAATCAAACCACATTAGCTTTCGCATCCTACGGGTACCCATTTAACACCCGAGCAGAGAGTGGCAAATGTAGATCAATGTCTTGCCAAAGGACATTAGTGCCGCGGTGGGACTTGAACCGTGGACCTTGTGATCCACAGTACGCTGACATATCCACTCGACCACGACATATTGCTGTTCAGGGCTAGAAAGGGCATTGAATCTGTGTCAAAGTATATGAGTTAAAGCCCTTCTGGCTCCAAAAAGACAATATTGTGTAATAAATTGAACATGATTCCCATGTGAAACACAGCAGGGTATCGACATTGGCCCTTGAATTGATTTCTTGAAACTCTTCGCGATCAAATTGCTCATCAATAAAAACAAATGAAGACAAGGCACAGTCGTTTGCTACATAAATCTCAAATGTCAGGTAAAATTTCACACACACTTTTTACAACAGAACGTCATGGCTTAAAAAGTTTCAAACCAATTCTTCATTTCTATCCTTCATTTTTCTTATTTCTATAGCTTTTTACAGTTCTGATAATCCATCACATAAGCAACACATTGTATATTCATTGACAAGCTATATTCATCCCTCCAAAAGTCGAATCCTGAACTTATATTTGGAAGAAAATGACATGTCTTCGACTACTACCACAGCTACATTAATTACATAAAACTGCAGTTGGATATGCATGATTCTGCTTTTTTATTTTTAGAAATTTGTCAAGAAATAAGGCCAAGTTACATTTTATTTCACCATTGAATTCATAATTTGCCATGTTCATATCTATACACATATACACTTTTAGTACTTAACCATATTCAATCTGATATACAAATACAATGACATTTAAAACCTAATTTTATTTACGCACAGTACTGATTTCAAACATGATTTAATAAACAATTATCATTTAATACATGTTATGCTAGGTTTACATCATGTTCCCTGCTGCCACGGCAGCCCTGTTTGACCGAAACGTAGTGCGCCGTGGGATTTTTGCCATTTTTTCTCTGTATTCAAGTTTTGATAGGTCTTGCCAGGTTTTTGTATTACCAGGGACGCCAGTAAGAATTGATCAGAGGGCCTGAAAATCACCTAGAATGAGCTCTTTTGTACACAAAAAAGCCTAAACTATGGTCTGAAAAATATTTCCCAGGGCCTGAATTCAGGCTATTGCCTGAAAACTGGCATCCCTGTATTACGTAGTGTCACGTTTTGTTGCGTTCACCCCGTTTTACTACGGCCTACCAGGTTTCTTATCCGCACCTTGACTACCATGGCAAATTTGTTGACAGTTGAAAAATCTAGCCCAGCATCTGTGGCAATGACGGCCTGTCACGTTTGCCCATTCCGTCCCCACATCGTCTCACGTCCATCCCGTTTTGTCCACGGTGGCCTGAAACGCGATTGCTGTGGCGGCAGGGAACATAATATCAACATAGCATAATCAGGCACATGATGTGAATCAATTAAGTTGTGAAAGAGAGAGAAAAGGCACTGATTTCTAATCATTTGGGATAAATGTTGAAACTTCTTTAAGAAGAAGACGAAGGAGGAGCTCTAGAATGATAAATGGTTAATTCCTACTTACATTCTACATACATAAGCATGAGTAATCTTCCAGTACTGGTGGTTGTTACGAGATTAAACCAGTACTTAATGGGGCACAGAAGAGGGGAAGACCTGCCCCTATTTGTATAGGTTGGGGGTGCAGAATAAGGGAAGACATGCCCCCTTTCCAATGGTCACACCCCATGAGCATAAGCCCCTGTCTAGTACTGGTAGTTTTGTTGGGGGTTATGCTGATACATGTTGATGGAAGAATTCCTATTCCCAGCACCACCACTGCCGCCGCCGCCGCCGCCGCCGCTGCTGCTGCTCCAGGGCGGGGGAGAGCTCAGGTCGACCCTCAGGGGTACGTCCTCGTAGTACCTAGAGGATGGGCGTGACCCACTCTGGCCGTATTGGTGGGTTGTCTCGATTGGTGGAAGATTGGGCGGGGCTCCCTTGGGGTAACCTGCACAAAGAGATGGGAGAGGCACAGAAAAAGAAAGAGACGGTTAGTAACGGGAGGAGATGGAAGAAATAAACAAAAAGTGGCCTAGTAGTATTAAAGGCACTGGGGGGTCTTTCACAAAGATTCTAAGTCGAACTTAACTCTTAAGTTGGAATTAAACATTATGGAGAGCCATTTGTAGCCTTAAAAAAGCAAAAATTCAAGGATTTTAGACTTTTAATAAATTCCACATCAAGAACATGAAATCTCCTTGATAATAGAAAATATGAATGATTTGAATCAACATTTTTATGACTTTTAAAACAACTTTTACAAATTATTTTCAAAGATGCGAATGACTTTCCATAATTGTTAAGTCCAACTTAGAGATAAGTTTACCTAAGGATCTTTGTGAAACATCACACTGGTGTTGTAAGTCAGAGACCCATGTTTAATCCCAGGCAGAGGTGCCTTTTTAGTTTTTCAATTTTCAATTTTTAGAAAATTAAATTGAAGAAAAAAAGTGAAACTGTAATTGTACCAAATAATATGATTCCTACTTTCAGAGAATTATATGTTTAAATATTATATGGAACAAGTTGTAAGTTTGGCCAACAACAAAAGGTTCCAAGGAACAACTGATTGGGTTCAACTAATTCAAAATGCTTGGCTTAGTAATACAGATGTTAAGCTATGCACAAATGACTCATGTAAAAAAATTGCCAAAACGATTATTCTTTCAGTTTTCACATCAACATGATTTCCTTCTTCCAATCAACCTCATTTTTTAAATTCAATTCTTCTCATTTGTTTCTCTCTTTGTATCGCCTGATAGGTTCAAACATAATAATGGTTTATAACTAGGTAGGTTAAAAATAAAACATTTTGGTCATCTACTCTATATAAGCATACCTGTTTCCTTTTCTAATGACAAGATCATGCAAAAAAAACGCAGGCATCGGGGAGATGATGTGGTGATTGGATGAAGCAAGGAATGACTTGAATTGCAAGATGCCACTTGATGGATGCGATGAGGAGGAGAAGGAAGAGGAGAAGGAGGAGGAGGGGGAGATGGGGGCCATCTTTACTGCAACAAGCTTTGAGCAGGGTTCATTTGCCTTTGGTAGCTGTAGTCATTGTTATGCAAATATTAATTATGCAATGTAGTAGGGACAGGCAAATAAAAAACAATACAGTAGAAAGGAGTGAGTTGAGACTTGAGAGGGTACAAGCAAAGCAAAAGAAGTTTTAAAAAAGAAAAAGAAAAATTATGGAAAAAAAGACAAGACTACACAGTTTACATTATATAAACATGAAACAGTAAATTTGCTAGTGGAAATGATTGATGTTCTTTTTACTGAAAATTGAATTTTGCCAAATGGAAATATGAAGTGACAAATGCCAGCTTATATCAGTCAAAATCGCACAGTTTGTTTTAATGAAATTTGCTTGTAAAATGAATTCAGTGACAAGAGAGAAAGAAGAGCAGAAATTAGATGCTTGAAAAGTTCTTTTTTATTTTGTCAATGGCATTTTAACATTGTTTTTAAAATATAGGCTAATAAAGCTTGTGAAGAGACAACATCCAATCTAAATGGAACTCTAAAGAAAAAAATCTCAGTCTCAGTCTTAGTCTTAATTTTTGTTATCTCAAAATGATGACATTACAGAAAGTTGCAATATTAGGATTTTTTTATAATAGTTTTAATTCAGCTTTTTGAAAAACAGAAAGAAAAGTCTTTTGGAACAGAAACAGTTCTTTTTTCAATTTAAAGTCAAATTAGCAGTAACAAAATCATTTTTATCAGTCTGTTTAAGAAATGACATACACGTATTATTTATCTAACTGTAGAATGAGAGAAAATTAATCAATGACAATCATCAATCGACATGCACAGAGAGTCGAGGAGGGGGTATGGGCCTTGGACTTGGGCGGGGCAAACTTGCCATGTGAGGGGGTGATGGGGGAGGGGAAGGGGGTGGGGGAGGCAGGGGCGGGGATTGGCTGGACGACGGTGAGGATGTATCGCTCATGGGAGGCTCAGGGGGGTAATCGGGAGGGGGCGGGATGATGCGGATTGGTAGGGTGGGGGAGACGGAGGTCCGGTATTGCCTGACCAGGCGACGCCTTGGTGGCCTGAACTGTTGATGAGGGGAGAGGAGGTGGCCTGGGACTGAGTAGATAGGGATACCAGGGGGTGGAGGAGGAGGAGGTGGAGAGGGCTCATGGGGGTTTTGGTAGTAGCCAGAGGAGTGCTGGTGGATGGCTGCACATAGGAGGGAGGGTGGGGGAGGGGGTAAGTTAGAGAATGGATCGGATGGGATGCGATACATCATGGGGCTTAATCTTCCGTTAGCTGTGTAGACTTTGAGCAAGATAAAGCAAAAGCAAAAGAAAAGAGCATGTTAAGCATGTTATAAATAAGCAATGGAAAAATGATTTTTACTGAAATCTTTCTTTTTTTGAATTTTTTTTGCACATTTATGCATCAGAATGTATATATTTGGCAAGCTGATTTGAAAAAGAAAATGACAAGCATGAATACTACATCAAAGATAACTTGATACTTAGTCCATGAAAATATATGTACATAAAATTACATGTACATAAAATTACATAAAAGGTTTGTATGACCCTTCCCCACCCCTTTCTAGTATTGCATAATTTTCCCAATAATCTCCTAAATTAACCTCATACTGATATCATCATATGTAACATATTTTGTAAATGCTTTAATAGGCCTCAATTGATCAAACAGTAACTTTCCCCATATACAGACATAATGCCAGATTAAACAAAAAGTGTTGACTGACTAGCCCCACTATGATATGCTACATTACCTAAAATCTAAAAATTGGATTGGTCTATTTGTTGAATAGGGGTGCTCTTACCATCTTCAAAGGAGGAGTCCCTACTACGATGGGCCAAGCCTGAATCTGGACTCAAATGATCTTCATCTTTTGTTTAAATAAATTCCATTCCACGTGAAGCATGAGGTAAATAGCAGGCATGAGGTGAATTGCAGGCATGGGGTGAATTGCAGGCATGGGGTGAATTGCAGGCATGGGGTGAATTGCAGGCATGGGGTGAATTGCAGGCATGGGGTGAATTGCAGGCATGGGGTGAATTGCAGGCATGAGGTGAATTGCAGGCATGGGGTGAATTGCAGGCATGGGGTGAATTGCAGGCATGATATATATAATGAAGCGTTATGAAATGAGCAGTAAAGGTATGAATAAGCAGACACTGAGGTCAACTGCTGCAGCAGCTAGCTACACAAAACCAGAGCCATCAATGCACAGAGTTTGGCCAACTTTGCTTCAGTTGGACTCAGCATGGCATATTATTATTTAGTTTGCCCTTGCTTGCCCAACAAAGCAGTAATCAATATTATGCAAAACTACAGCCAGGGTCCTGTTTTATCAAACTTGTTATCAATAACAACATCCAATAATTTCTATAAGCTATACTGAATCAATCCTTATGTTTGGTTGTCTGTGAGCAGATTTGTCATAGATCTATGACAGTTGTTATTGATAAAGGGTGGTATTCCGGTAGCGCGTACTAAGTTAGCGCGTGCTTAGTTAGTTCACACTTTTATGGAGTGCCTGTTGTGAACTAATTTACCCTTAACAGATTATTTTAATCCTTCAATGAAAAGCATCCAAAAAATTAATTTTGCAATGAAATGGGAAGAAAAAGATAATATGAGTATGAACTGAATTTCAACAAAGTCTTTGGTAGATTATCCTTGTCATGAATATTGAAGGAGGAAGATGAAACCTAGCATGCCATAGAAGTGTGAACTAAAATTCTTGTTTAGTCTGGACTTAGTCCCGGCTTAACTTATGAGAATACCATCCAAAAGGTTTTATGAAACAGGGCCCAGGTTGGCCAAACACTTCTCATTAATGATACTGCACTAAACTAACTACAAGCACAATAAATGTAGCAAGACAATACTATGTAGCAATACAGAAAAACACTAACATGCTACAACCACAATTTGATTAAAATCGAGCACACTTTAATAATTATTTAAAAAGGCATATAGATGAACATTGATTGCTTGGAGTATGCCGCCCAAGAATGCTGAACATCATCCTGAATATGGAAAATGTAAATTCCAAAGTCTGACAACTCTTCACTTATGAAAGTCATTTAAAACATAATAATGTTTAAAAAAAAAAAAAAAAGTACCAAACAAAGGTTTTTCTCGTAAGACACATTATATCAGGAAAATACATGTACAGGAAAAAAAGGTACAGAAAAATTCATAAACAAAGGCAATTGCAAGAATATTTGTTCAGGAAAGGTGCATAAGAACACATATAAAACCAAATTGACTCAAATTGAAACCATCACATCCAACTATGTATTTGATTTCCCCAAACTTTCCAGTTTGTAACAACAATGAATAAGATATTCTTTGTAGCAGTGTGTTCAACAATTAAACAGTCACAAATATTGTGCTAAAATATCAAACAAATTCCATAATACATATTGTATCTTTTTGAAATAATATAGGTTAACACAACAACTTGAACAATATATCAACTCTAGTATAACCAATCACATGAACAAAAAAACATATTCACATAAGGCCTGCCCTCATCAGCTCGAGTTTGCCAAATAACCAGCTATTTTCAAACTGGGGATATTATCCCAAAGCTCGAAATTGCGCCTTCACCAGACCGATACCCTCATCACAAAAAAAGCTCGGACGGGCACAAATTAGCCTGCTGTTTCCCAAAATAGTGGGATATTTTGGAAACAAGACCAATATTTCTCAGGATATTTTCTCAACCAAATATACCGCTAATTGCAACTGCGGGCTGATGGAAGACGCAAAGTATATGGTCAATTTGCGATCAGGATAGTTAAAATAGCAAGTTATTTGGTAAACTCGAGCTGATGAAAACAGGCCTATAGTATAGAATAAGTGCTCTGAGAGGGTTGAATGATAGAGCAAAATACACTGAGAAAGAAATTGTGTGGTGCACAACATAGTTTACAACTATAAACAGAACTTTATTGCATGTTCTATGTGTGAGCTTAATAACTCCTGAAATATCCTTCTGGCTTCTGCATCAGTTTGACGTGGTTCAGCTACTATAAAATGACTTAAGTTTATAGCCAGTAGCAGAAATATTCAAAAAAGAAGAGGAAAACTTGATACAGACCAACACACTACATTAATGAAATACAACATAGACTCCATATATGTAAACCGTCATGGCGTCCTAACATTTTGCTCCAGCAACAATTGCTCCGCGCTATTTCTTGTCAAAGATATGTAGGTTGAGGGTTAAGGTTGTAATTGGATTCTAGGTTTGATTTAGGGTTACAATGTAGGTACAGTCAAACCTGCTTTAGTGACCACCTGTCTACAAAGACCACATTTTTTGTTTCCCTTGAAAATGGTTTCTCATTGAAACATGAACTAAAGGAACCTGTCTACTTTTTGTGTTTCCCTTGCGCAGTCACTATAGACAGGTTTGATTGTATCATGTTTAGTCCAGATTTGAAGGTAGGAATTTTGCAAGTATTGGCAATTGACCGCAGAGCAATTGTTGGTGGAGCATGGGTCACAGAACCCACATCTTATCTCTACCTATTGCCTGCTGTCTTCCCCAGAGCCAGCCCCGATCTATACTGGACTGCTGACGGCCTGAAGAGGGACCGTAACAACGACATATCAAAGCAACAAACAAGAAATTAGTCGTGAACATTACAAATCAAGCTGATGGTGTACATGCAGAAAATAAAAATTTCTGTCTTTGCAATTGTATCATAGAGCCATGTATGCCTTTGAAAGAAAAGGAGGCACGTCTTGTTTGAGATTACCTCAAAGTTTTGAAAGTTTTAAGATGAAATAGAGGAGATAACTGATCAGTGAAAACAGGGTGCAAAATGATGTTGAAATAACATTCCAAATCTAAGGGCAAAATGGAAATATCGAGACTTGGAAGTAGAATATCAAAAAGTGGTAAGGAAGAGCTAACAAACTCTGTCCATTCTACATACAATTTTCTTATTGTAGGAGGTGTCCTCTCCTTCATCAGCAGAAAAAGGTGTTCTTGATTATTTTTATTGGGTTTGCGGAGAAATCATGCATATTGGGGCATATGAAGAAGATAAGTGCACTTAAATTTGCGATGCATGCAATATTAAAAACTACTATCAAAAGTAATTAGCACATTTACTTGCAAGCATTTCATGCTGGTGGCATTAGTTCATGGAGCTTTTATCTGCATTTCAACTTGGACTTAGCTCTACTTTAACTTACACCAGGGATTTCGGTCCTCAAAGGATGGCTGTCTACTGCTTATGGACCGCTGCAAGGCACTAGCCATATTGGAAGTGTTCTGGAATTGATACCACTCTCCTGGTGGGAGGGGTAATAAAGAGGGGGGAGAGAAAGGGGTGTGGTGATGGTGGTGGTGGTGGAGGTGGTGATGGTGGTGGAGGTAATGGTGGTGGTGGAGGTGATTGTGGTGGTGGTGGTGGTGGTGAGGGTGGTGATGATGGTGGTGATGATGGTGATGGTGGTGGTCGGGTGGTTGTAGGGGTGGTTGTGGTAGACGAGTTGAGAATGAGGATGGTAGTGGTGGTGGGGGTGATGATGATAATAGTGGTGGTGATGTTGGTGATTATGATGGTAAAATGATAGTGTTTTTTTACAGGGATGTCATTGGTGGTGGTGGTGTATGTGGTGGCAACAATAGAGATTGTTTTGTGAAGTTGATTGAAGCGTCACAAAAACAGGGAAGTTCATAACAAAAAATTGTGAGAAATATATTAGTAGTGATAGCATCAACAAATATCTCAAATATTTTGTTCAGTAATGTGTAGTTGTTAATATGAAAATGTGTAAATAATCAAAATCATGTGTGTGTATCAGTATGTTTATGCAAATTCAGTTATCATGGTTCATTATTTCAATGTAGGCCATGGTCAAGGCCAAGGAAATAAGAATATACAAGGGGTTGATATAAAAGGGTAGATTCGAAAGGGGTGTGGAAGTCGAAGGGGGCGCGGGTCAGAGGGGTTCATGGTAAATTGAATTCATCAGAGAGCATGAAAAGGAAAAAGGCAAAATAAATGAAATGAAAAGATGTTATTACACTCCGGGTATAATTCTACTAACTTCGAGAACTACAACTACATGTATTGAAAGGAGCTAATATTGCTGGTAAAATTCTCACAACTAAATGCACATTTTTTCTTCAAATCTACTACACATATCATAAAAAATTGTGTTTTTCCTTTCACTGCAATGGAGGAAAATCATTACCCCGAGTATGCACAATATTTACCATGTATTCATCTATTGTTTTCAGCTTTCCACACACTAGAGCATTTTCTATTGTGTTATTTATCTTCTAGTTAGTTACACGAGTTGGTTGCAGGAATACAATTGACCTCTTGTAATATTTTAGAGGGAAGTCTGGATGATTGAAATGTATACCGGTATAGCAAATTCTGGCTTGAAAATTGACAATCTAATGGCAAGCATCATTAAAACCAAATTGAAATACATGTACAATAAATTCTAGCCCATTTAAATCGCGCTATTCTGTACAGAAACTCTGTGATTAAGTTCATGCAGGAATTATTCTATCACCGCGACTTGTATTTCAGTGGTATAACGTAATAAAGGGACTCTTCCCAAAGCCTAATCTATCGAAAATGACATTATCATCATCATCAAGAAAAAAAACATTATAACTAAAATCACAAGAGGCCCATTTTATCTCAGATCCAAATAGAATGATTTAAATGTCATCGCAATGCCAGGGTGGCACTGTACCAGTTGCTTAGCAACAACACTATTTCTTTTGTCTAATTCCACATCAAAATATAAAAATAGACTGTAAAATCTTGTTTGGATTGGCCAAAGAATCCTCCTTTTTTTTTCTTCAAAATCTTCAACCTATGGTATTGCCATCCAACATTATCCTACACTCATTCAAAAGTTCTTCTTAATGTCATCCATACCCTCTTCAAATGACATCTGCCTGTCTCCGAAGGTTCCAAATAGAACTCCATTGCGACTGGCCCCTCCTGCAGTCGAGGTGCTTGGGCCTGCGTAGGCTTGTCGGGTAAAAAAACACATCTCGGCAGAATTACGCTTCAATTAATGCTATCGTGCGGGAATTGCACCTGTATTTTCAGCTAAAGAAGTTTCAT